GAGGACTAAGGTGCACCTGCCCCACACCCTGGTGTTTTACTTCAGTGGCCTCGTGTACATGTGAAAGTTGGATACTTAATTAGGAAGGCCAGAGAAGAGTCGCTGCATGTGAATGACAATGCTGGGGAAGAATGTTCAAGGTGCTGCGGACTGCCAAAGAACAAACAACTCTGTCTTGGGACATGTTATCAAGCGAGACCAGAGAAGGACAGAAAAAGAGGAAGATCCTCAGGAGATGGTTTGACCCAGTAGCGCAACCTCAGGCTCAGACATAACAACAACCGTGAAGCAATATTTTGTTCTCTTTTGCATGGGGTTGCTATGAGCGGAACGGACCCAATAATACCAAACAACAATCTCGGGAGTTACACTGACAGACTTTTCCCCCCAATCATTTTATTAGGGGCTCATACAACTCTTATCGCAATCCATACATACATCAATTGTGTAAAGCACATTTGCACATTCATTGCCCTCATCATTCTCAAAACATTTGCTCTCCACTTAAATCCCTGGCATCAGCTCCTCAGTTCCCCCCTCCCTCCCCGCACCCCCACTCCCTCATGAACTCTTGATAATTTGTAAATTATTATTTTGTCATATCTTTTTTTTTGGTATTTACATTTATTTGTAAAAAACTGTTCGAACAAGAGTGTCTAGGAATAATCTGATAAATATAAATATATATTAGTTGATGCTGGGTGTCTTTTCCCAAACAATTTTATTGGCACATAATTTACATATCATATAATTCAGTAGTTTAACCATTCAATCATATCAAGAATTATATAATAAATATCACCTCCATTTTATGGCATCCACCTCCCCCCAATGGTTAAATAAATTTAAAACTGAGTAATGCAATCAAATCCATTCTAGTGCTTCCTCCCCCTCCTGGCTTCATTATCTACTCCAAAAACCCTCTTTCTCTCCTTAGCAGTTCTCAACTTGTAGGTCGCCACCTCTTTGGGGGTCGAACAACCCTTTCACAGGGATTGCCCGATTCATAACAGTAGCAAAATTACAGTAATGAACTAGCAAAGGAAATAATTTTATGGTTGGGGGGGTCACCACGACATGAGGAACTGTATTAAAGGGTCGAGTATTTTGTCATATCTTACATTGTCCGACGTCTCCCTTCACCCACTTTTCTGTTGTC